GTTGGGGTTGTGTTACAACCCGGCTTACATTAGACTTAAAAATGCATCAAAGCATAATACCAAAAAAGTATAGAGAAAAAATACGTGTCTGATACACTACAGTCTTTATATAAATAAGAACTAAGCTGCATGGATTTGTTGAGAAAGGCTCTGTTCCACTGATGCTTGTTTACTGAATAGTTAAAAATAACTGTGAAGTTTTGAATAAGTGTTTCTTATTTCTGAAATATAGCAATGGAGCTCTAGTTTTATGTCTTCTCCCTATAACGAGAAGAAAGGAAAGGCTCACGAGTCACAATAACAGTATTAGAATTTCTTAGGAGCTAGATCCTAAATAGGAAGAAAGTAAATAAGGATTAAAGTCTTTTTAAGCAGTCAAAACCTCTTCTCAACAGAAACCATCTGCTGTTGTTGCTCATTATTTTGCCGTCGCGTAGGAACACACGATGTGGGTGGAAGTCTACGGTGTAGATGAAGGTACATCAGGTACGTCTGTAAAGCGTGGGAGTTTAGGTTCTCATGAATGAAAGTTAAAGAGAGGCAAAAACAAAAGGTGGAGAGTTAAAAAAAAGGTGTGTTGAATCCTCGCCACCTACACTGCCGAGTGCTTTCTTTGGCGTCAGCTCCCAGTAGAATGTGTACTCATGTTCACTTGGTTCCATTGATTTTTGCTCACTGAAACGTTACCGTGGAAACAGGAAAAGGCACCTTGTCCCTCATCCCTTTGCATTTCTTTTCATCGTGCTAAAGGAGACTAAGGCACCTCATTGAGAGCAGAGCAGAGTAGTACACCCTCGCGTTTCTCTTCATCTCTCCCCATGTCTACCTCAGTTTGCCTGTCTGCTCACCCGTTTCTTAGTTTTGACCAACTTTCATCACTACTCTCTTACATGTCAATGAAAAATAGGTGCAATAATTTATTGAGGCATGTGCAAACATGAAAATAGAGCACATAAAGCAGAAAAACTTCAAACAAGCATGAAAACAAATATTTAATGATCACCTTTATTCTTCAACAGCTTGAACTCTCTTAGCCAAGATGTCTTCTGATTTCTTTAACCCTCTCGAGGCAGGCGTTGCCGATTTGCAACAGTTAAAAACTAACAACCTGATTACCCCACATACATATTTTATGAGTTTTTTTTACTCAGAAGTACCACTGCAGGACTTGGTTGTGCATTAGCAACAAAAAGTTAATTTGAGGCTGAGAGGGTTAAGTTATTTAAGAATATTTCCCCCAGGCTGATCTCACACTGCTTCAGTAATGTCGAGGTCCAAGCTCTCTGGGGAGGCCAGTCCATGACTGATAGTGTTTAGAATTGTGTGTGTATGTTTTGGGTTTATTTCCATACTCAGATATGCTTTTTCTGCATTGCAGTGTGTTTGAGAACATTGTTATGCTGAAAAATGAAGCCATTGACAATCATATGCTTTTCAGAAGGGATTGCATGGTGGATTCAAATATGATGGTACTTTCTGCTTTCATGATTCAATCAATTTGAATAAGATCTCCAAGACCACTGGCTGAAATGTAGCCCCAAACCATAACACTCACTACCTCTGTCCTGAACTCATCTATGCATATTGATAATGATTTGAACCAGAAATGTCAAATTTAGATTATTCTCTCCATGAAACCACTGATTTTTAGTCCATTTTTCTCCCTGTTTTCCTCTTCACCTTGCTCAAGGGATTCACACAGGGATTCATCTTGTTGGTGCAAAAATTAATGCGAACAACTGACACGTTTTTACAACAATACAATACAATACAATACAATTTTATTTATATAGCACATTTAAAAACCCGAAGGCACACCAAAGTGCTTCACAATAATATGGAGAGTCAACATAACGGACGGTCAACAGGATGGTGGTATCAGAGTGCCTAACGATGCTATTTAAAGTTTGTCCTATGTTAAGTTCCCTGTTATTTACAGCACTAATCCCTTGAGCTAGGCGCCTTTTTTATACTTAAATGATTCATAGCTCAGTGTTAAATGGTTTAACAAACAAAATATTTTCACTGAAAATGGTCAGGTAGGATTTGAAAGAAATAAGTGAATGAACTGCAGCAAATAAAAGAAGAAGTTCTGGAGAACTGTTGTTTAAGACAGCTTAAAAAAGTTTTTCAAAAATACAGATCCTGGGAAACAAAATATAAAGAAAGGGGAACTGGCTCACTATTTATGTGTAGTAGTGTACAGGCAGTATATAGATTAGCAATATACAGCACATAAAGTGTTAATGCACACATCAAAGATGGTAAATGGATGGGCTTGTGATAAGTATTTATTTGCTGAGAGCTTGCTGTGTTGCATCTAGGCTATTTATTGATCCAACAAAGTCTCTCCAGTTAATCATTCTATAAATTCCTCCTACAACAATTAAATACAGACTTGTACTGTAGCTCTGCAGTCCTGATCACACACAACAACATTGTGTGTGATCAGGACTGCATCGTGATTCTTGCCACTCTTTCCCTTCTTTATACTGACTCTGTTTTTTAGCACTATATGTTTTAAATACTTTTCAGAGGTGTATTAGCATCATAGACCATAATGAAGGCTAATCAGTAGCTTTTGTCATTCACACCTGCCTCACCACATGCAAGCTGCAGTGGTTAGCATAGCCAGCTAACTAGCTTACTTACTGTATATTCTTAGCTGGATTCTAGCTGTTACACTAATGCTAGCACTTTTGTCCTGCTAGTCATTCAACACAGGCAGTGTTTGAAATCACTCACTAGTCTCTGGACCATAGACTGTTTTTATTGTTTTCCTGTCCCATTTTACAGTGAATATAAATTATGTAGTGCACTTGAAATATTCCAAAATACTTCACAAAAATAGCATACATGTAATAAATGCCAAAAAGATCACTCAAATCATATTACTGTTTTTTCTTACTGGTAATGGGCTCACCATTACATGGTCCTTCTCATAGAACTCCCTATAGAAGGAGTAGGGACTTAGTGAGTGATTTTGGACACAACCATACTGTAGCAATGAACTTTGACCTGTAATTGGCATAGAATGGACCAGCACAGACTATGATGCGAGAACTGGTTTCTTTAAAATATGCTTCTCAGTGCTCTTG